CTGACAGTCTTGAAGAAGGGCGGTACTAAATATAACTTTACTTGTAGGGGTAGGGCCTACTAGCCTTTCCCGCTTAGCTCGGGAAAAACTTAAATCTTAATTGAAATAGCTGTGTACTGCATGTATCATGTGTGATCATGTACAGTAATGCACGTATTTGTATAGCCCCAGCGAGTTTTCAAGCTGCGCGTACAAGACGGGGGGGGGGGGGGGGGGGCAGTGCAAGGGGAACAACTTCCCCCCTCCCAAAAAAAACCCAAGAAAACCATGGAAATTCAGGGAAATGCTGGGAAAAATTAGCGTAGATTTATGGGTAAATATGTTAAATTCAGGTTATGTCATTACAATCCTCCCATGCAGACTGCATCTTCTGCGCGCATGTTTGATGCTTTCTATATATTTACTATTAAATTTTCGAAATCTCTGGCGCGCAATTTCCAAACTTTACAGTTTGGCAATCCTCCATTAGGAAACTATTGGGATATTTATATGTCCTGTGATTTATAATCTGCTGGCATTTTCATCCCATTTGATTTCTTTAACTTTTCATCTCTTAAAAGCTGGCTTGCAAATTTGTGCCGGTTATTAGTCGGTGGGGCCACTTGTGGTGCCCACCGACTCTAGGTTTGCCCTTTGGTATGCCACAAGGGGGATATAGGGGGATATAAAATGCTTACCTGGTGTTCTTGGGGGGTAATCTTGCAGTGCTCGGAAGACGCACTGTGATTGGCTGTTAGCTGAAAAGGTTTTCCCTACACGATTTTCGTTTTTAAAGGAGGAAGTGATTCCAACTGCAATCCTGCAAAGTGGTTGCATTGAGTGCATTGGGTGCAATGGCTGCAGTGGTTGCAATGGTTGCAGTAGGTGCATTGAGTGCAATGGTTGCAGTCTAATTCACTCGACATTCGACAACGTACGGCCTTGCAAAGAAAAGCACTGTTTTAAATAGTTAGTAAACGTAGTAAACATGATTAAAAACGTCGCCAGGAAATTTTTTTTTGAAAGACAAAGTAAAATTAAAATATCTTATCTTGGTAAACAGTCTGCAAACAGATTCAACCTATGCTATATTATACTTTGTGCTTTAGGTCTTCGCTTTGTAAGTTGTTGCCTTTTTTGTGACGGTTCTTCGGCGTTTTCCAACCTTTTTTCAATATTAAAGATTGTTTGTATTCAGTTGTTTAAACTCCCGCGAAATCCAGGCAACCCGCGTGAAAATTCCCCGTTTTTCTATCGAGTTATAGAAATACTACACTAGGAACCTTTTTGGGCTTTTGACCAATCAGCGCCCGTGTTTTTAAAAGGCTATTTTATAATATTGTATAGTATATTTATAGGCTGTAGAAGTTATATATTACATGTAAATTGTAACAAACTTATAATTATGTATGAAACTAAATTATTTTAGGCAGTGTGTTGTGCAGGGTTGGAAAAAGTATCGGACCATTGGTCCCAGAAAATGTTTTATTACTGATACTATAGAATGATGTAACAATTTTTTTATGCCAAATGCATTTTTAGTCAATCTGAGACATGGGGCTGAATATGCCCCCAGATCCCCATTTTGGCATCTGTAAATTAACCTTATAGGATCATTTAGTTTGAGGACTTGTTACGCAGTGTTACACAGTGTTACACAGTGTTACACAGTTACAGGTTCTGTGCGTCGATTTACTTGATTATTTTTAAACTCCTTGCGGTCCCAGAAAGTAAAATACTTTTTCACCCCTGGTGTTGCGATGGGTTGTTTGTTAATTATAGTTGGTATTATGGCATGATGACAAGATTGGTTGTGTATTATACTGGGTGTATTTTCTACCAAAACAAAGCAAGGAAGAGAATAAGTGGAAAAGTCAGCCCGTGTGAACAATACAGGGTGTATAATAACGTTGTCAGTTGGAAAATGGCCACTAAACTGAAAATTTCATACAATTGTCGAAGAATTTATGTGAATATATTTCCCTAATACTGAAAATAATCTGAAAGTTTAACTTTTTACAGTTCAGGAAGACTTTTTAAAAATCACATGCATTAACAGGGTTTGTACTCGAAAAAAAAAGGTTTGCACACATGCAATTTGAATTCATATAAGGTTCAAGTTTGGCAAGTGCTTTATGAACTATTAAATTACCAGATAATATGACGTAGCTACATCAAGTCCTCCGCGCGACCTCTCAGCTTTTCACGCATAATATTTTAATTTTTTAAAAAAGTATGTGAGAAATCGCCACGCGAAGCGGTTAGCTCACCGACAACGGCAAGCTTCTCTATAGTGGACGATGACCGGAGATATACTGCCATGTAACCATATATTTCTAGTGTATTACTTATCGCGTTCTGTTTATATGGTAACCTGCAGGGATCCCACCTCAAACTAGACATTTTTGTAAATGTTCCGTTCCTCCTAACGGAGTTAATATTATATAGTACTTAATGTCTGTTCTCGAGGGAAATAGTTTGTTTTGTTTTCCCGAGAGTCTCAATGTTTCCCGAGACGAAGTCGAGGGATGAGATTCGAGTGAAAGCAAAACTAACTATTTCCCGAGGGAACAGACATTAAGTGTTTTGTTATATAGCGACGAACAAAAATCAACATTCAACAACATTCATACAACAATTGTATATTTTCGTGACAAAAACTCTAAAGTGTAAACGAGTTTAAAATTAAAAGAACCTACTTAAACGGTAACTTCAGCAGCATATCCTATTGCCTGTTGTGTATTTTTCTTCTCTTTTACGTTCTTTATTTGGACACAAACTTGAAAAATCGTGGCCGTAGTTTCTAATTATGCTAGTTGTGCCGCCATTTTGTTCGACTTCGTCTCGGAAAACATTGAGACTCGCGGGGAAACAAAACAAACTATTTCCCTCGAGAACAGACATTAAGTGTATATTATAAGGTGTTGCATGGGTATAACATAATTTTACGAAGTCAAACTGGGATGATTTCATTTCGGCCGAATATTATTTATAATAGATGTTTACACAAGACCGGAACGAAAAATTGCTCAGACCGGGATGAATTCGCACCGGGACCTGTTTCGGCTGTGCTCTTGACTTCGGAGCAATGTATTAAAACCACTGTCAATAACGAAAATGACGGACAAGGTGAAAAGATTGAAAGATTTGTGATTTTAGAGCGGATCTTAAGTGAACATACTGAAAATTTCGATTTTCATCCTGGTTTGACTTCGGCCTGGTTTTATGTAAACAAGGCCTTAGTTGTATTATTCTTTACACTGGGTGGAAATGGAAAATCTCTGGAGAAGAAACAGATTTGGGTTTTTTCAATGTTTTTACTTAATTTATGTTTAACAGATTTGATTAACAAATGAGTGCCGATCCTATTGACCATCCTCTTCGACGAGAGGGAAGCGACGACGAAGAATCTCTGGAGGATGGATCAGCAACTGGAAGAACACCATCGTCGAATGATTCAGGTACAGATGGACCAAGCGAAAGTCCTAACATCTCTAAGCAAGGCAACAAAGTTCTCGATAAGAGCGATCAAGTGAAAGATAGCCTGCATGAAATGCAACGTGGAAAATATGATAAAACTGGAGTATTGCAGAAACATGGAACTGAAGATCAAAATATCCGACAGTCTGAGACTCTGTTAGTGAAGAGTGGTGAAAGTGAGACGCAATCAGAAAAAAATCACCAGACTGAAGCTCAGCAAAGAAAATATGGTCAGAGCGCAGTGCAGCAAGGAATAAGAAGCCACGAACCGGCAAAGAAAAACCTGACTGAACAAGTTCAGGGACGTAATGTTTATCCAAAACCAGAAAAAAGTACATCGCGAACAACTTCTGATGTTGCCAGTGGAAAATATAATAATCCACCACTTTCATACAGCTTACGATCAAGCCCAAATACTCCTCACTCGACCTTGGTAAGATTGTTTACTTTAATAATTCTTACACATTAGAAGTTTTTCTATCGCTGTTTTTCAAATATTTCTTAATAGATTAGAAAAAGCCCCAACTTATAGATAGATACTACATATACATATTAGATATTAACAAGCTTTCGTTGGTGGGGATACAACTACCTGAAACATACAAGGAGAATTTCGACGTTTTGAGCAAAGACCCTTCGTCTCGAAGCGTTGAAATTCTCCTACCTACACTGGCACACACAGTTCAGCATATTAGATACACTGTTACTGTAGTAGAAAACCTTACAATTACTGTAACTGAATAAAGTTGCGGAATCAAAATATTTTCTCGAACAGAAATGTACATCTCTTTTCTCGCAGGCATGGCTAATTTTGGTGTTTTCAAAAAAATTTACTTCACTGTCTCCGGAAAGTATTGTCCATGGGTAGGGTAGCCTGCTCACAGG